CCAGAGTTTCTATTAACAAAGTTTCTCTGTTAAGGCTTATATACAAATCTCGCTAACACTTATTCCTTAATGCTTTTCTTGTGTTTCAGGGGAATATATTGCATTATATCAGAGTCAAAGGGCTATCCTCAAGCAACGACATCAAGAGAAAGAGGAGTACATCAGCAGGCTGGCTCAGGACAAGGAAGAGATGAAGGCAAGGAATCTATTCTAGCAGTGCTCCAAGCAGGGCACACAATAATAGGCAGAACTGGGAGGACTTTCAGACTCCCAATCCTCACCCGGTGTTCCTCAGTTAAGTTTAATTGTGACGCTGCTATTCTGGGGACAGAGGCAGGACAGTAAAATTTAAGTACCTGGAGGTGGCACTTGAACCCAAAAGGGTTCAAGTCTACCACTAACTTAACCATGAGCACCTCCCTTGAGGCTCAAACTGCTTTAGGGAGAGCTGCCCTTGCAGGGGATCTAAGCTGTCTGCAGCTGAGCATAGTTCACCTTCAAAAGGCCAGAGACATGTGCAGGCCACATAGATTTGCCTTTACCTTGGTGCAGGTGAAGTTACTGGAGCTGCAGGACTTGGTCATGCGACTGGTTGGGGAAAGAAATGAGTGGTACAGCAAGTACGTGGGAGCTGCTCAGAAGCCAGAGCTGCCGGCAAGCCCGGACGAGCGCGCGCTTCCCGCGGAGAGGCGCCTCGAGCTGAACGCCACCGACGGAGAAGGTGAGCAGCAGCCGGAACGAGTTACAGACTAGAACAACCTGAGGGTTTGGTGCTGTGTATGGAGGGGAGGCATCACCTTCCTGCCTTGTCTGTGTTCCTTACAGGACTACGAGAAGTGAGTTTATCGGATGAATCGGAACAAGAAGCTGTTCATCATCAATCCAGTTTCACCCCCCTTGACAGTAAAACTGCTCAGCCAACCCAAGAGGACCCCACAGCAAAGCAAATAATGCAGCTTCTCAGAGAAATCCAGAACCCTCAGGAGAGGCTGGGCTCCCTGCCAGAAAACCCCTGCATTCCCTTCTTCTACCGGGCTGATGAGAATGATGAGGTCAAAATCATGGTGGTTTAAGTGACGCTAATCTTACTTAGAGCAATTTTCTATGAGCCTGTAAGGACTTACACCAACTTGTACTTGACCTGTACCTCTGCCCAGTACCCTTGGTCAGAACAGATATCTGCTTTAAAGACCTGAAGAAAGAGGGATGGCATCGGATGGAACTCGAGCGTCAGACCTCATCTTCCCTCCCCTTTCTTCTGTTACATGGTGGGCTCAGAGTACAGGTGGACTAGAAGTGCTCACAGGAGGCAGCTGGGCCAGCACCTGCCCTGGGCCAGCTCCGGGCTGGGGGACAGGGGATTCCACAACTTCTGGCAGAATTACTTGATTGCTTGTCCTTTATCCCCACACCACACCAGGACTCTGCTGCTGGCAGCCAGCTCCCCCCAGAGACTCGGTTCCCTCTGCCAGGACTGCAGGCTGCCTCCTTCCTTCCCAGGCTCCCGGAGCAACGTGCTCTGGTAACAAACTCTTGGGATTCTGAACAGTTGGGTTTGTTGCACACTATGTATCTTAAACTTCCCACTTTCCTCTGCAGCCTGCCTCGTGTACTGTATCTGAAACCAGCCTTGCCATTCTCAAACAGCCAAAAGATACAGGCTTCTGGCTACGTAGGCAGCACTACAGAACCATATATTCTCTTTAGCTAGGGGGAAGGGACCTAGGGTTGCCTTTGGAGTCTTTTTGGTTACTTGACAAAGCTTTATGTGGATGATTGGGAGTGGGGTGGAAATGTAACTGCACTTTGAAGGATGGTGTGTTCCAATTGTATGTGTCTGACGGTTTTATTTATTAAAAATGGGAGAAATGAGTAAAAGGAAACCACTTAATAAACCTGCTTTGTTTTGAGTTTCTGGACTGTGGGGTTCTCCATCACTTAAATTTCCTTTTCTCCCATTTTGGTAAAGAAAATGCAAGCTGAGTGCATTAAATGCACAGGGGGTAGAATTTAAAGACCTCTGCCCTGGATGCTTATCAGAATTAGAGGCATCACCTGGCAGTGCCCTGAAACAGTAGGCTAAATTGTACCAGGAGAGCAAAATGTGTTGGGAAGTGGCAGCATGGGCTGTGCAGGGCACCTTCTGACAAGGCATGTATGTGTCAGAGCCAAGTGCATAGGGGTATCTTCAGACTCAGTCTTGAGTTCAGGCAAGAACTACCTGCTGCTCCCAGTAACATCAGCAGCGGCCCTTGAAAACCTCCTGGGGCAGGTGGAGGGAGCTGGCTCAGTGCAATCCGCATGCAGCTAGTGCTGCACTGGCAGGCAGTGCTTCAGGAGGTGAGAGGTGCAAGCACAGGAACACAGTATTGCAGGTTGTCTTTGTAAAATACAGGTTTTCCAGCCTTTCTTTATGTCTGACTTGGTCAAGCTTCCCTTTTTTTGTCAACATGATAAAAGAGTTTTTCTCCTACCACCAAAAGCAGACAAGAACATTAAAGATTGATGCTGATGTCCACATGCAACTGAAAAAGGTAAAGGAAACAGGCTCTTATGTTCTCCTCTGAACATACTGAGGGAAGATGAAGCTTTTTTTCTTAAACCTCTTCCTTTCATTGGAATAGTTCTGGTGTTGGCTCTGTGTTAGAGGCCAGCACCCAACTCAAGGCACAGCACTAGCACTGTGGGCTCCCCCTCCTCACTGCATGGTTTGTGTACATACACATCTGTGTAACATTCTGTATAGTCCTTGAGAAGAGACCAGCCTTTTGCAGTGTCCACACCTGCATCATAAAAATAACTGTAATGGGCAGGGCTATGATTTAATACAGAGCATTATTGTTACAAATAGAATAAATATTTATTGGGTGTTCTCATCCAAAACTGTGAAGGAGAAAAAGGCTATTGAAGTTTTGCAGGCTGTTGCAGAGGTGACCTAATGCTGTTACAAATTTGTTTTCTTTCTGAATAAACTTATTCAGATGGGCACTGACTATATGTATTTCTTCCACTCAGAGCACCTGGAGACTTAGCTAGAAAAATGAAGTAAGTTCAGAAACAAAATCTAGCCCCATTCCACAACATCCTGCTCCAGCATGGATGCCCTTTTCAGCTTGCTCTCCTGGACCACTCAGAGCAGCAATGTTGTTAAATCTTACTGCTTAACAGGTTGAGACTCCTGTATTTTTTAGGGTGATTTACTGATTGTGTGGAGAAATTGATTTTTTCTGGATTCACATGCTACACTTGCCCTGGGTGTCCATTAGAGGCTGTTTTAAACTAAGAGCCTCCCAAAGACACATGAGTGCTCTTAGTTTTTACTTATTTGACAATATAGTAGGCTAACCTAAGGGCAGGGGGAGCCCCCGTCCCTAGAGGCCAAGTCCTGCCTTCGTGCCTACCCCGGGCACACACCTTCCATATGAGCCAGTACCACACATCTATATAGTGACTTGTGGATTTTATGACATTCTTTACCCTGCTACTGCTGCAGATCAACAAATGCTTAAGCTACCCTGCTTAAGGTAACTGGTTGCAGAGACGTTTTTATTTTGTCCAGTATTTCACGTATGACCCTAGATTGTGACTTGCTTTCTAACCCTGCTCTCTTTGGAAGTTTCCCTGATCCCACCTTTACTGGGAATGGACTCGGAGCAGACACACAAGCAGTTAACTATGGTCCATCTGACACAAAATAGCTTTAAATTGGAGTAACTGAACTGCCCAAACACCTTGGTTTTGAAAAAAAAAATGGAAAAATGCTTCTTAACAGCTCTAAGTGTCAAGCAAACAGGAAATGGTCTTTAGGACCGTTCCAAATAGATGCAGAAGGAGACAGGACATTCTGTTAAACAACACGTTGTAGATTAATGGGACAGGAGTTTTTACTCTCATCAACCCAACCCTTGGCAACCAGCAGATCAGAGGATTCCAGTTTTTAAAATTAAGGCTCTAATATTTAGTTGAAGACAGCCACGTTGTTTCAGCTTTTAAAGGTCCTCTGCTCTTTAGAAACAACCCTGTACACAAGTGCAGGCATCGATGGCCAGTTCCAGTGCAGAGCAACCAGGGGCAGTGCAGGGCAAGCAGTGCTTACGGCCTCACGTGTGTTGGGAACTTACATCCTCTACAAACATGCAAGGACAGAAATAACTGGAATACACACAGGAAGCAGCCACTAGGAAACTACTCTATTCCTCCAATCCACACCACTATCAAATATACATACATGTTTAAGATTTTTAGCTTATTAAAATCTTAATATAGAGACTCCACGTGCAACCAGCTAGCTGGCAGCACTCGGTGCTGCATCAGCACCCGGACTGAAGTGACCTAAGAGATCTGCAAGCCCAAGGATTTTCTTCCATAGCAAGAAGTGCTCAAGCCCTGTTAAACCATGACATAAGGAACCCACTGTAATTGTCGAGATGACAGCGCTAAATGCAGGGATTACAGCAAAACAAAACTGCTGTCAGGGTGAGTGCTGCCCTAAGACCTGCAGCTCTGCTTTGGCCTGGGCACAGCAGTGATAAGGCTTACCCACTTTACTGCAGGGCATAAATGTCACTTCAGATTAATAGTAAGTATTAAGTTAAAGCTGGCCAGGCATGTCTCATACTATCACTTTAGCCTGTATTGTAAATATGGCCCCAACAGATGTTGCTGGCCAGAGAATTTCTCCAAATCCACACCTGCTTGCTGCGTGCCACAAATGTGCAAGATCCCTTCTCCAAGCCAAGCACTCTTGTCAGCAGCACTCCCACCTTGTGTCCGTCCAGTCCTGAAGCCCCTCCATGCACTTTCCTTTACGAGGGAGAAAGCTAACTTCAACATCTGAGGAACTTTATTCACAGCTCCTGGTCACCAGTATCGATGCACATCTGCTTTAAGTCCCTTTTTAGTGATAACACCTGCATGCACAGGTAGCTTTTTAAGCTCTATGAAATGAAAAGATTAGGCTATTATAATTAAATACAGTCCAAAAGCCACCCAGAAAAAAAAAAAAGAACAAGAGAGATGGTTTTATTCTAGTCATAGAGTCCTTCATTATACAGAAATGATAGTTTATTTCATTCAATAATCAAGAGTGACAGGTAGATCACAAACTGCATCACAGCTACTACCAGCACTGAGACAGTTCACCCACAAGTCTGGGGTAATACAATAACCCAACTGCACACAGCAGAGAATTCAACAATCAGCTCAAAATTCAACGTCAGGATTTGGTTAATTTTCAGGTGTAATATATACATATATATATGCATGTATATAGATATTCTTTTCCTACTTAAGTATTTCCTAAAATTCACATGGAAGCACAAATGGCTTTAAACACCTGGACATATATAGACTTTTTTGATCTTATATATATATTTATAGATATTTATAACAGTAAAGATATGTTTCTCATTACTACAATATACTTGTTTTAACTCCTTTAAGCAGCTGGGAGGAAAAAAAACAAACAGTTTCACTACAGTGGCATCTGATACGTGTGTGCGTGTGTGTGTGTGCCACGAAATACAAACAAAACAAGCCATGAGATTCGAGTCAGAGCACTCCAGGACAGAACAGCTAAGAGCAGGCAGAGAGTCTCAGAGGGAGCAGGCCTACATGTCAAATGGTGGTTTGGGACTCTCCGGGCGGGAGGGACTGGCCTTACCCGGCCGGCTGGAATAGTGGCATCTGATACGTGTGTGCGTGTGTGTGTGTGCCACGAAATACAAACAAAACAAGCCATGAGATTCGAGTCAGAGCACTCCAGGACAGAACAGCTAAGAGCAGGCAGAGAGTCTCAGAGGGAGCAGGCCTACATGTCAAATGGTGGTTTGGGACTCTCCGGGCGGGAGGGACTGGCCTTACCCGGCCGGCTGGAATTCAAAGACAAAAAAAAAAAAAAAAAAAAAAAAAAAAAAAGAACAAAAGAGGGGAAGGAAAAGGGGAAGAAGCAGTAAAACAAGAGTTAAAATACAGGAAACAACCAGCATCAGAACAGCAGAGGATCCAGAAGAGAAGTCAAAGGCAGCAGCACTGAAATAAGGTAATTTCAAACTAATTCAGGCCTGTTTGGAAGCCTGTTAACATAGGTGGCTCATTTAGCTCTGGTAGAGACATGACATCTGAAATGTACAGGGTTGATAGATTTTTTTTAATTATTATTTTTTAATACATGTAACATGAAAAGTAAAAACCAAACCTTAAGATGATGAGTCGTGATCAACAACAGTTACAAGTTTCCCCAAACACGTATCATCCACATGCAAGAAGAAAAAGGCTACGGAAGTTACCACGGTACCCAAAAAACACTGAGAGATGTGCTTATTCCAAGCAGAAATATTTTCAACAAAAACGTTACACAGCAAACTCCCTGAAAAACATTTGGTTGTCCATTTGCAAGGGGGGAGCAGCAGCTCTATTGCCCTCTCCCTGCTGCGTTCAGGGACGTCGGCCCCGAGGGAGGACGCAGGACAAGTGCTGGTGTCACCAGCGGTATCTCCTGGGCTCCTGCGGAGCGCGGGCAGGTCCACGTGCTCCCTGCCCTGCCGCGGGAGCAGGACTGGGCCGGTCCATCGCGTTCCCCCCGCTCGCTCTCCCTGCCTCGCTTCGAGCTAAAGTTGATTGCACTGTTCCCAACGTGAGTTTTTGCACCTTAGAAGTCAGCTAATACACAGGACATTTAATCTGGTCCTAACAGTGTCACGTGTTTCAACAGCATTTTTTTTTCTTCTATGTCACATTTTTGTCTTCTTAACTACGAGAAAAAATAGCTACAGAGCTACAGATCAGTGCTAGGTGCTACAGCTAACCGATGCAGGCAGGACACTTATCCAGGCTAGACCCAGCAGGTGAAACAACTGGCTGGACAGTCGCCCCTTGGGCTTTGGGCCGTCCCTGCAGCTGGTCTCTGCAAGGAGCCTGTGCACTTCAGGGGTCCATGCCACTGAATGGAGGCTACTCTACACTCACAAAGCAATACAGGACGCACGAGTGAAGACGAAGAGCTCGATCACTAGGCTAGTGCTTTACGACACACGGGGAAGGGGCGGTGGGAGGCAGAGGGGTGGGATGGATGAGAGGAGTGACTGTGGCTGCGGGAGGGAGGGTGGAATGGGAAGCCGCCAGCACGGCATTCGTCGCCAGCTGTCTACAGCCTCGAGTTATAAATCTAAGAGGGACGGTTCAGCCGGTCGGATTATGGTAGGTCGAGTAGGTGAGGCAGGGCCCCTTCTGCTGTGAAAAAGCAGAGAACAAAACAAGAGAACACACACCGTGGTTAGCACAGCAATCGCAGTCCATCACACATGCTTCTCCACCTCGCCCGAGCCAGCGAGAGCAAAGGCCCCGCGGGGCGCAGACCTCCTGCCGCTCCGCACGCAGACGCGCGGCGTGAACCGGCCTCGCGCTGGCACTTCTGCCCAGCACGGATCCCCCGCAAGGAATCCGCTGCGTGGCTGGTTTGGCTTTTTCCCTCTGCGAATTTGGAAGTCGGGCAGTTATTGCCAGTGACTGAACTGGCTCTGGCATGAGAGTTGAGAAGCATGGACAACAGTGAGCTCCTGTATCAAGCACATGGCAGTCACACAGCATGGATGGGGGCCCTCTCAGAGGTGCTGGCAGAGGTTCCTGGCTGGTTTAGGAGAGAGGGGGCCTTATACCTCCGGTTCCAACATGGGACACTGATCTTTTATATTAAGGTCAAACTTGGCGCTTTCAGCTCGCTATTCAGGGGCCCAGCAAATGCAGTTTCCACTAAGAGGACTTTGGCCACTGCAATTCAGTTGCATTTCAGCTCTCTTGCTAGTGTCTTAGCCAAATAAATGGGCAGCAATTTAATCCATGGAGAAGACAAACATTTAAATGTTTCAAGATCTCTTCTTGTAAGGGACTGTTAAGAAATAAAAACGTGGAAAAAAACAAGGACACAACCCCTCTCTACTGCTTTCAATCCATGACTAGAAAGATCACTTCAGACTTAGAACACAAGATTTGAGGAAGTCTACCCATAATGAGCATGTGTTCTGGTAGTCAGCAAAACCAAACCATGTTTTTCTGTCAGGATACACTCCCTGCAGTGTCTGCAATGTAACAGTGTATCAGAAGCGACAAATTAAATTGTTCAGCACAAAGCCAGGGTAGTTTCAGTTCAAACTGCCTGAAATGCAAAGAGCAAACAAAACAGGACGGGAACCAGAGAGGAAGATCAAGCAGAACCCACAGGTAAAGCTTCAGTAATTCTCCACTGACAGGTTTTATGCTAATTTAGATTACACAGAATCAACTGAGTACTGGAAATGAAGGACCTCCCAGTATAAGGAGAGTAGAGGAAAGCAGAGGGGGGAAAAGAAGAAGGTATTTGCAATAGTGCAATAATTGAGAAGTAGAAGAGCTTCACACTGACAGCACGTCCACACTGCTGTTGGTGCCAGAGGAGCTATATTGCTATGAGATGCTGCAAACTCCACCTTGGCAAAGGGACAACTCGAGAGAGCAACTCTACTGCCCTGCTTATTGGATCTCAGCAGAATTTACTGCTCTCTATCAAGCCGCAGATTTCAGCCAAAACAATCATGACCATTTGTTCCTTGCTTTGTATAAGGACACACTAAAAAAGGTTTCAGAAAGTTAATCACTGCCAAGTGGGATTTTTTTTTTCTCCTAAACTGTAAGGAGAAGTGAAATGGGGACTGTAAGGCCCCACTGCCAGCCTGTCACTCACAAGTGACTCTTCCAGCCAAGCAAATAATGATGGGACTAAGCCAACCTGAAAACTACAACCACTGAAGCAACACTACCACCCAGAAGGAAAATCTGCAGCAAGATGTTACAGCTTGCAGTCTGTCACCTTGAGCTTCAAGCACATGTGGGATCCACGCATCCACTCTCAAGGGTGCTCATGTATAGGAGCAGCCAAGTAGCCATCTAATGACTGCTACTGACACTGGAAAAATCCTACAGACTTCAGCAGCATATGGGTTTGACCTTTAATGAGACACTGCTGCACTGTCATGGGTATTGGAAGGTGTTTTTCAAACGCTGAAAGGGCTTTTTGCATTTCAGGAGTTTGGACAGGTTGCCCAGACAGTCTCTCTGGATTCAGATGAAAAGGATGCTTGAAGTCACTGGACTACATAATATGTTCTGGCAACAGAGGCTACTTGACCCTACCAAAATAAATCAGGCTGAAAGAAAAGCAGAAATCAGATAAATAGCCTGCTCTTTTTATAATGCAGTAGGATGGCTTTGCACAGATATTCTTGTTCCTCTCATCACTCAGTGACTTGGGAATGAGCCTGAGGAAATCAGTTACACTGGTTGCCATTTGCCTTTATGCCACTATTTCAAACCATACCCCAACTAGAACATTGACCTGGGCATTTCTAGGAAGCAATGGGCTAACTTCGGCTGCTAAGGGCTTAATCAAGACTGCAACATGCTACATTTATTCTCTTGAGCAGCAGAAGTCTCTGATAGAAGTTTATTATTATGACTATTATTATTATTTTTTTATTTCCTTGGTGCTCTTTATGCCAGAGTAAGAACAGAGAATGCTCCGTAACAGTGAGTCCCAGAACATGGCATGGACAAAAGCAAACCTCTTTTCTGAGGTTTCTCACCAACATGCATGTTTCCAGGGCTGCCTGCAGTAGGCAGAGGATTGCGGGAAATTTCCCATTGCTCCAGCACCTCTGCAGAATGTCATCAGCGAGGAGGGCTGACAGGTGACACACGTCCCCAAACACCACGTCAATCAGTCACCGTGTCAGGCGGATCCACGCGGCACCTCCCAGCTTTAATGACAGTCAGAAGCAGCAGGAACGGAGGCACCGCTTGCCCTAAGGCAGGGGCTAACTGAGGTGGTAGCTGCAAAGCCCTGGGCTGACGTGGGGGCTGATCCGGGGCTGTTCCTGTGCAGATCCTGCCCTCAGCACCCGCTGCCCTGCTCTGCCTGACGTTACCAGCAGGAGCTGAAGGAGCTGCACTGCTCTGAGCCGGTCCTCACCGGGAGAACCAGCATCGACAGGCAGGGAGAGCTGGCCCAAGAGCACCCTACATCCACCCTGTGCTGCCCTCACTTCCCCTTTGTCGGTAAGGGCTGGAAGTCCCCAGGAAAAGGGCTCAGGAGGAACCCTCTTCACAGCCCCATCATTCTCCCCTCACCATTAACAGGATTGGGAAGAGTCGGTCCTTGAATGCTGGGCCAGCATGACACACTGGAGCCCGACCCGATACCTTGCTATGCCACCAAACAAGTGCAACGGTGCAAAATGCAGGGCGAGACAGGACAGGGAACAGGCAGGAGCCCAGGACGGAGAGGCTGGAGGCTACGGGTCACTAACTGCTTTTCCACCCTGTGGTGGGAAGCCAAGGAAGGAGAGGGTCTGAATGGAAACTAAAAAGAGACTGAAAAGGAGAAGGGCCAGAAGGAGGACGAGCAAAGGAACTTGGCTTCTAACTGCAAGGGTGGGAAACCAGGATAACAGGGAGCACTCAAGGTCACAGCAGACCCACTCTGTACTCAGACACAGGTGTCCTGATATTAATGACCCAAACTCTTCCTGCCATCCACGAGCACTAGGGACACAACGAGAGGGGAACACTTCTCTGGGCAGACACAGAAATATAAGATGAGGAGTCTGAACAAGCAGCTCCCCAATTCCATCTCAAGGCTAACTGAGCTGACAGATGGAAACCAGACCAAACCCGAGTTCGTTCAGCCCACCTCCTAGTCAGCGTGGATTTAGGCCAAATTGAAGATGTGAGCTCTTTAGATCCTGTTCCAGAATTCACTCCCCCATCCTCACTCCTCTACCTGCAGGCAGAGGAAAGTTCCTCTCATGACCTTAAGCCAGCGACTGAGGCTCTTCCAGCTCCCTGCAGCTCCAGCAGCTGCTGTCTCTGATCAGCCACTTTTCTGTTCAAGACTCCTCCCTTCATGGGATCCTGGCAGAGGTGGTTCTTTGGACAAGGGACTCTGTTACTAGTACAGGAGCTAGGCAGCAGAGGCGAGCTGCAGAGCAAGAGTGATGGAGGATGGTGACACAGTGACGCATGCATTGCGGGGAGAGAGTGCAGAACGTACCGTGGCCGCCAGTCCTCAGGGGTCACTGATAGTGATTCTGAAAGACAACACGAAATCAACAAGGCAGTTCAGACAGTTCAAGGCAGAGGCCACGCAGAGTGTCGGGCAGTGGGACAAGACAGGCGTGCGCTTGCACAGACAGAGGCAGCACTCGCGCTGGCAGAGCCTGCCCCGCTGCACTCGCTCTCACACTCACGGCCTCCCTGCACTCACACACACAACCTGCTGCGTCGCGCTCGGGGCCGCGCTCGGAGCCCTCGCGCTGTTCACACACGCGCCGGCTGTCGCTCACTCTGCAGCTGGACACGCGTCACGCGCAGTCGCACGTCTGGGATGAGAGACCCCAGCACCTTCACACCTGCAGGACACCTCGGGCTCAGCACTGAGGCTGGGGGCAAAGCGACAAACTTGCTCTGAGCTGATTCAAATCTTTTTGAACACATGAAGTGTTAAGGAGTTGAAAAGCAGCTCAGGAAAGAGAGAGCTAATATGCTGTTATGAGCCTACAGTACCACTCAAGAAGGAAAGAAGGAAAAGATTTTTTATTTTAGAGGCCACAAACTATTAGACCAGCTACTCTGACCTCCTGAATAACATGGGTCATAAAATTACATGACATTTTCCTTGTAGTGGTGCTCATCACTCATGTCTTTCTTCCTTGGATATAGCCAATGATGGAGAACTTGCTAGTGCCTTTAACAAAACTCTCCGGGGGTTAAATCACCCTCACTAAACCCATCTTATTTCTCATTTTAACTTGCCTCATCTTTCTCACCTACAAGCTTTGTCAAACTATTTTAAACTGAGGAAGCTCTAAATGCCTGCAGGAATACCTTCATGGGTATTTTTTCCCAATATTTTTAGAAAAAGGATTGTTAAGTGATTCTAAGTAGAGTCAGTAAATCTCACCAGCTGAATCACTTTCCTCTGAGTCTTTTCAGAAAGTGTCGACTACAGAAGCAGGTAAAGTATTACCATATCACTTACATGATCCATCATTTCCTATTTGAATATAGGAAAGTTTACCGTGATCCTTTTTACCAGAGCATCACACAGGCAGCCCATTTTGAGTTGCACATTTGCTCTGACTCTTGAACCCTTTTCCAAAGTAGCTGCTTCCTGACAGTAATTGACACTGTCGTCCTCCTCTTCCACTCACATATTTTACCTCATATAACTGAGACATTCAGAAAAAAAAATAAATAAAAAACAGATTTTAAATACAATTGAGGTGGCCCCAATCAGCCTGTATTACTTCTGTACTGTCATGGCTCATTCTGCTAACCTGTTTCACCTGCTACCTTCCCCTCAGTAGCGAGTTCACTTTCTCTTGAATCCCCTAGCCAACGTACAGGACCACGAGTGTTACCATTAACCCTGGAGGAACGTCATCAGACACCTCCTCCCTGGAGGAGGATTCCTCACTGATTGCTTTGAAGGTTCCCACTTTACCACTCCTTAATGATTTAAGGCATCCTTTTCTGAAACAACATAGTGTTGATTTAGTTAGTGTAGTACAACACTAAATCAGCAAATTCATAAACTTAAATCCATCTCCATAAGCCACATTGATTTGCTGTAATAGTTTGTTCTCCCATTGAGCTGACTGGATATAGTTTTCTTTCCAAGACTGAAATGTCATGCACGGCCTCCAGCAGATGTACAGGCAGAACACAGTCCTTGCACACAAACAGGACCTTATGTTATTTCTAACTGTCAGTTAGATACATGTCCGCACCAAAGGTGATATGGGCTTTGGCAATGGACTGAAAACTGCTACATTTGGGGGCCGGAGTGAGAGCTGTTAGGACTGTACCTATCCTTAGGAAAACCTTCCTGCAAGGGAAAGGACCACAGAGTATTTGTACACAAAAGCATATGCATCTATTTAATTACATTTATGAAAAAGAAGCCGAGCAACTCTGTCTTTCAGTTCATCATACATGAAATCAGACACTCGCACAAACTGGAGGCACAAACGCACACCACAATGCTCCGTTGACACCAGCGTGCATGTGCATGCAGAATACACCCAGCACCACCATGCACCTATAGCTCAGCGCCCTATAGCACTGGCTCCTACAGCAAAGCCCACTCGCACAACCTACAAGAGCTCCATTTCACACTCAGGCAGAGCAGTGTAGTCCAGTTAGCAAGGGAAATGATGGGTATTAAAAAAAGCAGCAGTGGAGATGGTATTTGTTCACCCATGGCAGAAGGACCCAAGTCCAAGTGCTAGCAGGGAACATTTTTATTCTATATACAGGAGAGGAAGAGAAAGAGTCCCTTGCCATTGGAATTTTTCTTTTGATCAGTAAACTCAAATGACAAGCTGCATATCAGGATCCGGAGGAGTCTATGAACAACTGGAAGAATCAAAGAAGGGAATTGGAGAACAAGCATGAAAACTTCACAACTTCTGGAATTACTTCCTCAGCTCCAGATCAAGGCAGTCAGCAGCATTCAATCCAACCTGCCATCTCTCCTTCTAAAGGAAGGGATTGCTCATTTAACTATGAAATCATTTCTTTCCTGAGCTTCACTGTGGTTCCCATCCTTGCTCTAAACCTTTCTATTCCACAAAAAAATTGGATTATCCAGAAGAGCCATTAAGGTAAACTAATATAGACTTCTTGTAAAAAAAGGCCACTTTTTAGCCCACTTGGGAAATCCTATCATGACAACCAGGTATATAGAATATTTTTCATGAGTGAAAAAGTGAAGTTGAGTGAGGGGGAAAAGATGGAGACAAAGACACGTAAGAAATATACTAAAAACAAAGAAATAAACAATATATAGGAAAGCAGGGTCACAAAAAGCAAGAGACAAGTATACAGCAGAAGCATGCTGACATCCACAGGATTGCAGTCCCTGGGGCAACAGAGGCAAATATGAACAGATTACTGAGGGAGTTGCATCAAGGCACAGACGGACGACTGGGGCAGAGGCACCAAGAAAGTAAAATCATGTGCACAGAGAATCAAAAACTGGTCTACAATCTCTTTTGTACTCATCCACTTCTGGGCTGCATACAGCCTGAAGGAGGAGATTTTTTTCTCCAAACAAGCAGTGCCTGGCATGAGCTGGGCAGCCTCTGCCCTGTAGCATCACCACCCACAGCAGTCTGGGTGTTTGCAGAGAAAAGGGAAAAGCTTCAGACACATGACCCTGGCACCCACTGACGAACAGTTCTTTCCCACAAGAGAAATGTATCCTCATGTGTGTCATCTGGAGTTTGTGGTTTTGTTCATTCTTTACTCTATCATTAATTTCTCTTCCTTACAGGGGGACCAGCTACCCAACATGAAAACATTCCTGGTTACAGATCACTTCCTAAGTCCTATTTAGGAAAAGTGCAAAGCTGCACAGGGTATAGTCCCTTATTGCTCTGAAGTGTTTATAAAATGACTGAATAGGAAAGGGATTAAGTTTCCTAATGGGAAAGCAAAGCTGTGTCACTTGAACCTCTAGACTGGAAAATGTGCTTGAGTTGATTGCAGAAGCAGTAAATATGTCCACACATAAAGGGCAAAATTCCATCTCTCCCACTAGTAATCTTGCAATATTCTCCTAGACAAAAAGCATCTGGGGTCCTAGATGAAACCCACTAACTCACCTTGAAACATCCTGCTGCAGGAGAAAAGGGCAACTTGAGACTCAGGGACTCCCTACACAGAGGGGAACTGCCTTGAAAGGTGTATGTTCACTCCAGTCGTGAGATTTTCTGGTGACTTATCCCCTACTAGTGAGATACAGCTGTCAGGCAGAAAGTCCTCTTCCCCCAACTTCTGAGTGAAGGTTTGTGCAGAAAGAAGGTGGTCTCTCTACCACAGAGAGCTGCCTCCACCTCACCTACAGACTGAACTCTCAGTGGGCAGCAGTGCTCCGGGCTATTTAATACATCCCAACAGCCAAAGACTTTACTCACATCGAGCCTTGGATTCTCACCCTAGGACCCAAGGCAGCTGACGTACTGCCAGAACTGCTACCCCCAAGCTGGATATATGCCCCCTCTCTTCAGGGGAACCCCTCAGGACTTACCTGGGAACACCAGGAGGAGCACGGTTAGGCCGAGAAGGAACCTGAGGCGGGGGCCCAAAGGGATCAGGAGAGGCACCTGGCCTGGAGGGCACGGGGGGGGCACCACCCAGCGTGGACCCACCAGCAGGAGGTGGCCCAGGAGCTGGGCCTCGGGAGCCAGGTCTGGCGGGCGGAACAGCGGGCGCTCTCCTCTGGGGCGTGGGGCTCGATGTGGGGGACCTGGCAAACACACAGAGAAAATTCAACTGCAGCAACAGGCCTGGGATTCCACTGGGCCACCACCAGGTCTGCATATGCTGCCTTCACTGTTCCATCTTTAGTCTTGTGTCACTTTATACACCTCCCTTTGGCTTTCCAAGGGTCACACTAGGCTCCAGCTTGCTTTCGAAGCTACTTCAGGCCCCATCTAGTCTCAAGATTTAGCAGCCTCCACATCATCTATAAAACTTCAGTAATCCTGCCTAGTTCAAGGCCTAAAAGCCTCCAAATGCAAACTCTGAGAACTCTCCAAGGAGAGGAGGGGAGCAGGTCTCCCTGCGCCAGTAGGAGGCCCCAGGTAGCCATTAGAGGCATCAGGCAGGTCTGTGGGGCTCTCCCCCTGAGCCTCTGGTACCTGCGTCCAGACGGTACGCTCTGCACCTGCAGCCAAGAGTCGTCCACCGGTGGGGGCATTGGGGTGCTGATGGTGCTGGTGTTGATGTCCCCGATGATGTTGAGGGCCTCTTTCAGGGCATGGTACATGCGCAGCATTTCGTCACGCCGCTGGGCCTGCTCTGCCGATTCCTCCATCAGTGTGTTTTGGTCACCACAGGAGTACAGGTTTGCCAGCAGCTCCGAGTGGATAAAGTCCTTGGTCTGTAAAGGAGCATGAAAGAGTCAGTTCCCACATTTCCCCCATCAGAAACTTCCTTTCCATCCCCACCTTCAGCTTTTCTTCATTCATTCTTCCCCTCTCTAATTCACCCCTTCTCCATTAACCACCATGAGATAAGTACATTGTTTATCATGAGGTGCATGATAGTCTTCGGCATGAGGTCTCTGATGGTTTTGTTGACAATTGCCATGTAGGAATCCACCAGGTTCCTGATGGTTTCCACTTGTCTCTCTAGCTGAGGATCCATGGAATGCATGAAATTGTCTGATCCGTTCTCCTCTGTTTCACTGGCCTGCAATGAGACAGAAATGCTCAGTACTCCATTATAATACAAACTTAGTATTTCGTGACACAGCTAAGTGAAGATAAGGAAACATGCAGGAAGTACAGACTACACACAGAATATTTAGACGTGCATTTCGAGCTGTGATTGCCAGGGCACAGCTCAGCTTGTACACACTTCTCCAGGTTGGATCCAAGGGACAGTAACAGTAAAGCTGCTATAGTTGCCAGATGAAGTTATTATATAAAGCTGCAGTTAAAGGTAAATGCAATCTGGATTCCTGACACTGGCTCTAGTGGATATTCAAAGCTATATTTTTACTTACTTTCCTGAAAGGTTCTTCATTTGAGCTGTTTTCCACATACAAAGACAGTTTAGAAATGATAATCACTCACCATAAATTAAGCCTCAAGGACTGAGGCACTGCATCTTTATCCTCATTACACAAACGAGGAAACAGATACAGAGCGAGAAGATAACTACCCAGACTGCAGGTTCATAGAATAACTTAAAAGAAGTCCTCCAGATCACCCAACTACAAATTCTGCATCTTAAAATTGCATACAACTTTTCCTCTGTACTAAGCAGAAAAATCTTTTTGGTTCTGCCTGAAATGCATCATTTAGCTTTCGGTAATGCAAAACCTCGACAGCAAACAATCTCCAAAGATCATCCATTTGGGAACAATTTCAAAGCAAATAAAGCATGAAAGTCTTTCCTGTGTTTCTCAATGCACTATTCAAAAAACCCCGATTTTATAAGAAAATATCTCATTTAAACTGCTTCAGTCTGAAGGACTTGCAGCAGCATAGGAAACTGCATTATCATCATTTATTTGGGAGCACAAAATAGACAAGAAAGGGCACATTCTTTTCTCTATTTGAGCTTTTCCTGGGAGGGTCTTGCAGACTCTCAAGGGAATAGAAGACCTTGCAATCCAAGAAACATTAGGTAAAGGAAGTGGAAGTCAAACAAGACAGCTCAAAAAAAGCACACACAAAAAATAGGGACAAAAAAAACCACAAAGCCAAAAGTTTTCATCAAGATTCAGAAATCATATAAAAAGAGAGAAATAAAGAAAAAAGAAAAACTCAGATCAAGCACAGAAACAAATGGCAGCAGTCCAACAGAAGTTACAGCAAGGGAGAAGCAAATGCCTCTCGGGAAACGGTGACAAAAGGAAAAAACAAAAAGAGAACTATCTGGCAAGAGCCCCAGGGGACAACACAGGCAGAGAAGATGAGACTTACTTTGTCCTTGTCCTGGCAGGCCAGTTTGAGCACATGTAAAAAAAGTTAAAACAAAAAGGGACAAAAAATAAAAAAGCACTTTAGTTGGTCTCAGACTTTGGAGAAGAACCTCTTTATATCACTGAACAGAGATGACCATACCCACTAAAACCACACAAGTACCTACATTTCCCTGGAACACAAGCAGATGATCTGTTTGCCTAAGTCAAAAATCAGTATGGGAACCTTTGCAAAGGAAATTGTTAGCAAAGAAGGGCAAGTTACTTACCTGCAAAGGCTATTTGTTACTCCTGACATAGGAAGTTGAGACATTCATAAACCAGATATCACCCTGCTCCTGGGTCAAACCACTTCTTCCCTCACCTATAGGTGGCAAGTGTCCTTTAGGAGCACATGTTTAGGATGCTCAGTCTGGTCCAAAGCCCATTGAAGTCATGTCACTGATAAGGCCCAATATCCTGAACTCCCAAATTAAGGTTTTTTTTTTTTTTTTTTTAATCCTGCATCAGTTTGTCAGGAAATGAATTAGGACCAAAAAAAAAACAAAACAAAACAAAAAAAAAACACCCCACATGCTCCAAGTTTAACAGGAAAGATGAATGCAAAAGGTCTGCTGGAAGCGACAAACCTCTAAACAATTATTGCTTTTCTAACAGGGAAACTATTTATAGACATTTCCCCTTGCACAGAGGAACAGGAAAGCTTTGAACAGGAGCATATCACACTTCCCTAGAAAACACTTTCAAAGCAAAGCAGAATGATGATGATAGAGTCGAGGGGTAAAGCTATGGAGAGAGATGAGAAATGTTGCTCAAGTAGTACAGTGAGATATCTACAAAGCAATTAAAAAATCCCAGAAAAAATGGAAGCACCATCCCTGGTAAACATCTGAGTTTTATTGCCAACAGAACAAGAGATCTAGAAGGGTTCATCAAGGCAGTCATTGCCTGCTTTCTCTCTACTTTGAGGATGCCAGTTATATTATTCCAAACTTCCTCAAAGGAAGCACCAAAACATTGAAAAAAAAA